CCGCCCCGCCGCCGCCGCCGCCGCCGCCGCCGCACTCCTTCATCAAGCAGGAGCCGAGCTGGGGCGGCGCGGAGCCGCACGAGGAGCAGTGTCTGAGCGCCTTCACCGTCCACTTCTCGGGCCAATTCACCGGCACGGCTGGGGCCTGTCGCTACGGACCCTTCGGTCCTCCTCCGCCCAGCCAGGCGTCCTCCGGCCAGGCCAGGATGTTCCCCAACGCGCCCTACCTGCCCAGCTGCCTGGAGAGCCAGCCCGCTATTCGCAACCAGGGTAAGCAGGCCGCGGAGCGCCCCCTGCACGCGGGGCGGTGGCGACGGGCTGTGGCCGCGCGCGGGCCTCCCTGTCCTACCCCTTCCCTGACCCCGCTCCAGCCCGGATGCCTCCCAGAACTGAGATGGAGCGGAAGCGGCCGCTGGGGGCGAGGAGGCCCAGGAGAGGGAGCACACGCCGGCACGGGCTCCTGACCTTCTCCGGAGCCGGGAGCCGGAGTGTTCGCATGAGCCGGGAGGTCACCTGGGGCCCCTCGGGCCCGGGAGGTCCCGGGACTGCGAGTCCCTGTGGGAGGGGACAAGGGAACCGCCGCAGTGTCTGGCTCTGCCTCGGGAAGAGGTTTTTTCGCTCAGGGCACCACCAGACTGTCACCAGACATTGGACTTTTTAGACATTTAGACTCTGGATTCGGAGTGGGACCAGCACAGGGTGAGCAGCCCGTGCGGCCTCTGCCGCCAAAGTGTCCAGCAGCCGCTCTCGCCCCTAGTGTGGGGTCGGCACAAATCAGGCGCGCAGTAAGTATTCCCGAGCACAGGAGAAAAGGAGCCGGCTAGCGGCTGAGAACTTGCTTTCTTGGAACTGTCCGCGTACGGCTCCGCGTACGGTAGAGGGGAGGCGGATCTCTCCTGGGTCCCGCTCAGGGGGCGGCCACGCGGCACCAGCGCTGAGAGAGAACCCGGTTTATCCGATTCCTAGCCGGCGGGCCCGGGCCCTCCCGCAGGCGGCGGAGTGAGGCCCGAGCGTGGCCTTCCTTCCAGCTCGCCTCGGGCGCCTCCTTGTCGTGGAACGCGGGGCTCAGCGGGGGAAAGATTTTTGTAGGACTTGGGGGTGAGAACAAGGACAGGTTTATTTGCCGTCTTCTGTCATTATCCATGGAGGGACGCGGCCGGTGGCTTTCTCATCCCGCGCTGGCGCCCGCACACCTGTCTCTCTCAGGGACCCGCGCGGCACCAGTCATGCGAAGCCCCTGTACTTTGGTTTATAAGTTTGCTCTAATTGGATTTCTGCGCTGTTGAGAACCTAAACCAGTTCGGGTTGATTCGCTGTTTTAGGAAATGCTTTACAAACGCAATGGTGGATGCTTTTCCTGGAGCAAAAATCGCGCGGGCCTAGAGGCCGGGATGTTTCTGGAACGTGCGGGATGGGAGAAGCAGTGTGTGCTGTTCGCGGGAGGTTCCCAAGGCGCGCAGGAAGGGCTCTGTTCTTCCCGCCGGCGCGCGCACCTTCTAAACGCGCATGGTGTCCACCTCAGCCCAGCCCAGAGCACCTGACCCACCAGAGGCTCGGCGAAGCCGCAGCCGCACTCCTCACTTCGTCCTGGGAATCTGGGATGCCGCCCTGTAGAGGAACCTCAAGCCGACCCACGGGGTTCCTCCACTTGAGGTCTTTCCTAAATGAAATCAGTGTTTCGGACTCAATGGACGTGGGAGCAGCTCAAGTAGAACGCAGCGTCTCGTGTTTTCTGATTGTTCCACCCTTAATTAGCAGGCTGGTGTTACCTTTGGCAAATCTCCAGGTCTCGGTGTCCCCATCTGTCCGAGGAGAGCTGAGGTGGGCAACCTGAAGGTCACTCCAGCCTGGAATTCTATGCCGCAGAAGCAGAAGCCCGACTTTCCTCAGTGTGGGCTTCTAAACACAGGAGGCAGCAGCCCACCTAAACTTAACTGGGCCAGAAACGCAGGACTGGCAGGCAGGTGTGTGATGCAAGTGAGAGTCTGTGAGGATGTGTGCTGATGGAGAGGCCCAAGAAGCCATTTGGTCTGTCCCCAGGGCGCAAAATACTACTGGCCCATGATCATTTACTTGAGTCCATGTAGGTTCTGTGGAATTTTTGGAACCTGGGCTCTGTCGCTGTGTCTGGGTGCCTGTGTCCATCATTCTACAGGGCTGGGCTGGTGCCCAGCATCCCCTAAACCCAGTATGGGGGGCCGAGACTGTGGGCTTCCTGGCCAGCGGGCACTAGACTTAAGGGGGAAATCGGAATTCCTCTCTAGTAGATAGGCTGGCTGCCAAAAAGAAAAAGAGCTTGGTAGCTGGCGACGAGGACTAGCAAATGAAAGAGTCCACCCTCCCCACCTGGGGGGAAAGCCTAGTGGAGAGGTGGCCCCAGAGCTGAACACAGCCTGTAAGCCCGTTGCATCTGTGGGCTTAGGTTTTCTCTTGCAATGAAAAGGTAAATGGGTCACCCTCAAAAAGGCCTTGGACCCATGAGGGAGCTGGAAGCTGGGGTGGGATGTCAGAAGCTGCTCTCGCTTTAGCCCGGGTGTTGGCAACCAGGATGGGCCCTGAGGCCTCAAGATTCTGTATTTATTCTCTTGATTCCTGGGTTCCTGGGGCTCCCCCAGGAATGCCGGTCCTGGTGGGAGGCTTGGGCTCAGGGAAACTAGGGCTTCAACTTCTTCCCCAAAGTGTGGGAATGGCCCTCAGCAGGCTGAGGCCAAATTCGAGCAGAGCGGAGTCCAGACTCTGGATCCCGTCTCAGGCAGGGCAGCCGTGCCATGGCCCACAGGAGAGGACGATTGCTGGCACCCTCTCCCTCGCCCCCGGGGCATCACATCTCCTTTGTTTTTTTTTCCTGTTTCTTAAACGTTATAGCTGGCGTCCTAATGTCGCTTTTAAAGATTAATTCAGTAAGCATTTATGGAGCAGCTATTCTGTGTCAGGCACTGGGGATTGAATATTAAAGACCATTAATGCGCCTCAACCTTTGTAAGAAGCTCACAGCCTGGCATTGGGGGAGCCCCTTATTTTTGGATGAGGAAATCTGGCTCCAAGAGATTATGTGCAACAGGTCTCTCAGTTTGTGGCAGAGCTGGGACTCCAACCCAGACCATTCTAGGCTATTTCTATCTCCTTTTTCAGGGATCTTGGCCCCACTGTTGAGATGGATCCCCTCTGCCCGGCAGATGGGCACCCAACCCACTGCAATCCGTGTGTGAGGGTTGGGGGGTTTGTTAGGGCAGAAGTGGGATGAGGACTTGGGTAGTCGCAGACTAAGTGCGGGATTTGAGGAGGGAAGGAAAAGATCGCTGGTCAGTCAGCCAGATCCCCCAGCCCCGCTGGCGCAGGAGGAGGCCTCGGCATCGCCAGGCCCCAGGCCACCTGGGGGACCAGCTCGGCCTGAGGGCCTAGGGCGCACCCTCCGGTCGCACTGGAGAGGGTATCTCCTGGGGGGACAGCTTCGCCGTGTCCTGCTGCAGCTGCGGAGTCATCATAATCAGCCTCTCCCACCTTCCCGCTGGAGCCTGCTGTCCACTCCACCCCTCAGCTCCCCGGCCCGGCCCCGCAGTTCCCGGGCTCCTCCGTGCGCGGCGGGGGAGGGGGCGAAGAGCGGGTCTTCCCTCCCCGCACGGTCAAGGTTGCGCTCCCTTCCCGACCCGGAACAACCGTGGGAACGGCGCTACCTTGGCAGCTCTAGCCCCTCCCTTTAAGGCCTGGACGAAGAGCCTTTGAACACGCTGTTCCTCTCCTTCTGCAGCACCCCCCTCGCCCCCGCCCCCTCGCCCTCCGCGCCTGGCCCAGCGGGAGGCCCGTACTGCGCGCCCTAATCAGCCCCGCGTCCGATAACCTTCTAATTAAAAGAAACCCCCACCCCCCGCCGGCGCTTTCGCCACTGCCCAGGTGGAGGACCTGAGGGAGGGGGTTGGTGGCTGGCCCTGCCCGCCGGGGTCTGCGCGTCCTGTCTGGGAGGGGCCTTGGGAGCGTCGCCAGGCGCGGGAGCTGCAGCCGGCACCCTGTGGCCCTCGCAGCGCACGAGGTTGCAGAGCCCGCCTCCGAGGACAGCACCGTGCCGGGCCCCTGACTACTCGTCGGCCCAGGAATGGAGAAGGGTTCGTCCAGAGACAATTTCTCTGTCGCTTCTGTTTCTCCTCTTTATTTGAAAAATGACATTTCAGAATTCGGCCTTCCCTCTGCAAACTGGGGCGCTCAGAGCCAAATTTCGTTTGTGAGCTGGTCGGTAGGCCTCAAACGCGCCTGGCCTCCGCTCCCAAAAGGAAGCGCCTGTAAGCCCAGGGGTGCGCACCCGCCTGACAGCTAACAGGCGGGTTATCTCTGCCCACTTAGCGGGCGAGAAACGGAGGTCTCTGGGGTCACGTAAATCATAAAAGCTGGTGGCTTCTTAAGTTGTCAACCTGTGGCGCCAATCCGTGCGTGAGACTTGGCCTGCCTTGTACAAAATCCGGCTGTTCATACGTGCCCCAACCCTCCCTCCCACTCTGACAGACTGTGTTCCCTGGAGTGGGTGTAGAAACTCGGTTTTGTTTTTGTTTTGGGGGTGTGTGTTTGGAAGATGGGGTAGCAGCCTTCTTTCTTTGTCCAGCCTAAGTCCTCAGGCACACTTGTTGCAGTGCCTGACCATGCCTGGGGCAGTGGGGGAATGGGGGCCGTCTGACCCCTCTCACTCCTGAGAATTGAGTGGGGTTTGAAGACCCAGCCCAGCGGCTGGAGGTGGGGGGACTGGGACCGACCTGGGGCCCTGCAGGGCCCAAGTGAGGATCTGGGCCAGTCTTCTTCCCCACTAGGCCTGGACCTCAGGTCAGAGATGCCAGAGCCTGCCCATAGGAGGGGACCCCACCTTTGGGCTCAGGGCCCCAGGACTGATCCTTATCTTAGCTCGATGGTGCTTATTCCCCAGAGGCAGCAACAGTTTTCCAGAAGCTGATGGGGTATATGTTTAAAGCAATTTAATAACAGTAATCCTAGAAGGAGACTGGTTCTTCAACCGAGACACCACAAGACGCCCAGTATTGCCCTCGGTTTGTCGGCAGGGAAACTGAGGCAGAGGGCTGTGCACTGCCGTGGAGAGAAAGGGAAGTACAGTGTCAGGCACACGCTAAAAGAAGCAGGCTTCCTGGCCTGGGCGCGAGGAGGTCGGTCCCCCGCAGTGGTGGGTCGGATCACCGGGTGCGCAGTGGTCCAGAGCGAGGCCGGCGGGCCCAACTGGAGGGGCCCCTTCTTCCCCCCTCCTCTCCAGCTTTCCGACGGCCTGGGTGTCGTGGTGTCGGGGCGCACAGCCTCAGACAGATTACTCGGTAATTACTCTACCCGTTTGAAGCCCCTGCTGTATAACTGGCTCCGAGTAATTAATGAAAGTGGGTGCGCGGGCCACTGATTTACGGCTTCGAGTCAGCGCGGGGTCAGCCGAGCAGCTTCATTTCGCTCGCCCACGCTGCCCCTGCGCGAGAGCCGCGGGGTTTGGTTTTGGGGGAGAACAACTTTCTCTGTCCAGCGGTTTTTATACCCAAGTTGCCGAGGGTTGGGTGCAGAAGCGGCGGAAGGCGGGGGCGGGGAGGGGATCCTGTCCCGGGTCACACGTCGGGGCTGGGGCCCGGCTTCCCGCCCAAAGCTTGGGAGGCTGGCGGGCGCACAGCCCTCCGCCGGCGTCCGAACGCGGGGCAGGGGCCTCTCCCCCTGTTCTGGTTCGGACCCGCCGGACGCGTTTGCCCGCTGACGCTGTGCCTCTCTCCGCCGCGCCCGCAGGATACAGCACGGTCACCTTCGACGGGACGCCCAGCTACGGCCACACGCCCTCGCACCACGCGGCGCAGTTCCCCAACCACTCCTTCAAGCACGAGGACCCCATGGGCCAGCAGGGCTCGCTGGGTAAGCAGGCGGGAAGGGGTTGGGTCCTCCCCCACTCCTTCCATGCTACCTCTCCCCGGAGTTTCCAACCCACAACAGACTGGGGAAAGAGAAAGAGGACACCTAAAAGGGATTTAGAAATAGGTAGCCCCGTCTCACTCAGTCTGAAAGATAGGGTGGTTTCCCCGACCCCAGTGCGTTAGGGACAGCTCCACTCAACCAGATCTGCGAACGTCGTTTCGGGGTACTATGCAGTGACGGCTAAGGGGATGTCAAGTGTCCCGATCTGGCCGCCCTTTCTCCCACGGCCCGGCATCCAGGCCCCGCTGCTCCCAGCGTGGCCTCGGAGCCCGCTCCGGATGCTCTCTCCCTGCCCTCCCGCAGCCTGGCACCCTCGAGCCCTTGGGGCGCGCTCACTCCGCTCTCCTCGGCTCTCTGCAGGCGAGCAGCAGTACTCCGTGCCGCCCCCGGTCTATGGCTGCCACACCCCCACCGACAGCTGCACAGGCAGCCAGGCCTTGCTGCTGAGGACGCCCTACAGCAGGTAGGAAGGCGCTCGGCACCGTGAATGGGTCCCCTGGACCCGGAGGGGGTGCGCGAGCCGCGGGCGCGGGCAGCCGGACTGCGGGGCGGAGGGTGCTGGAGGCGAAGGACGCCTTTAGCCCACTCGGTACTTAAAGCAAATTAAAGCAGATCTTCTGGCTCTGACTTGAAAGAAGGGGGTTTCCTCGTCTCTTGGGGTTCTTATTTTGGCTATAAAAGAGGGCAAGTACTGTTTGGAGCTGAAGAAGACAAGAGCGACGCTTTGGGAAGGTTTTTTTTTTTTTTTTTTGGCGAGGAAGATCAGCCCTGAGCTAACACCCGATGCCAATCCTCCTCTTTTTTTGCTGAGGAAGACTGGCCCTGGGCTAACATCTGTGCCCATTTTCTTCTACTTTATATGGGAGGCCACCACAGCATGGCTTGACAAGTGGTGCGTCTGCGCGCGTCTGGGATCCGAACCCCGGGGCCAGCGCAGTGGAGCGCGCGTACTTAACCGCTACACCACCGGGAAGGTATTCTTTAAGGGCTCTATGCTGGGAGGACTTGAGCTTCCTCGGGACCAAAGATAAACACGGGATCCACTCCCACTCGGCTCTTCTCGCTCATCAAACCCCGCGCCGCTGGCACAGGGGCCGGACTTCTCGGGGACTGATTCGTCCTCCGGAGTCTCGGGAGCGGCAGCGCTTCCTGGGCGTCGTGCCCCGTGCCTGGCATCGCTGGGGCGGGACCCGGGCCGCCTGCAGGACACTGCTCAGCCCGCGCCGGGCCTTCTTCCCGTTCCCGGAGGCGGAAGACCGGCTTCTCTTCCTGCCCCTGGTGCCTTCTCTCCCCCAAATTCACTCTTCACCTTCGGGTGAACTTGGCCGGCGTCCGCGTTCGCGATAGGGTTGCCTGGTGACGCGCAGAGGCCGCGGCGGAGGGAGGAGGCGCTCGCCGCCGGGGATTGGGCGCGCATGACCTCACCGCTACCCACCCATCCCGGGACTGCGGGGGGCTTGATACGGCCTGCCCCCAAATCTCACCTCCATCCTCCTCTGCTCGGGACGCGGGGCTGACGTCAGGGAAGGAGGTAGTGAGGTCATGAAGGAAGGAAAAGCGCCTGCCCTGGGAGATTGGGTGGGGGCCGGCGCCCTGGGGCCTCCCGTCCGCGGAGGGAGGAGGGGACCGAGTCTTCCTCCCGAGCGCGGGCGCATCCCAGCCACTGGCGCGCTCAGGAAGCTGAGGCTGGGGCCAGTCTCCTCTCGGGGGAGGGACAGGGTCGTGTCCCCGAGCGCGCGGGCTTTGGAAAGTTTCCCTTTTGATGGGAAAATCCGGCACATCTAACCGGGTCTTGGATTCGAGATCACTCTCTCTCTGTCTGAGAAAGAAAGGCAGAGAAACGCCCGCGGTGGCACAGATGGAGGTGGAATGGTCACCCCTCCTCACCATCCTCTTCCTCCCTGCTGGAAGCCAGTTCTGTTGTTTGGCGCCGCAAGTTCTGCCCCACGCCCGCCGTCTGCGCCATCCCTCGGTGGCTTAGTCGCTGGAATGGGTGCAGAGTCGTGACCCTCGCCCCCACCCCCACCCCCACCCCCGAGAATCTGCGGCAGCCGTCCATTGCCGTCCTTCTGGGAGCTGCTCCGCCCACTGCCAAAGCGGCGTTGCTGTCCTGGTGGCCACTGGGGCGCAGTAGGAATGGTTCCCCGTCGCATGACCTTGGCCCACTCCTCCCTCCTTGCTTCCTGGTACCTCACCGGGGGGAAGAGGAAGACCTGATGCCGGAGTGGCTGCTGTTGCGATGAGCTGGGATACCTGCTTGGGGTTGGGGCCCGGGAGCCTTGGAGTCGGGTTCAGTGGTGACACGCAGCTACACACGCTTTCCTCTCTCACAAGTGTAGACCCACCTTGTGGGTCACTGGAAGGGGGCCCGTCAGAGGGACTGAGCAGCCTAGAAAGAAAAGGAGGAAGGCAAGGAGGATACAATGATAACACCACCAAACCCAATCCCTGTGGTGGATTGACTTAGGGCTGAGTTTGTGGTTGCTATGGAAGCAGGAAAAGTCACTCGGATTGCATTTTATACATAAATTTTTCACATTTTCTAATACAGTTTCTAATTGGCCACGGTATAAAGCAATTTTGTCAGGTTCATCTTTGGGAAATATTTGCTTATCCCTTTCTTCTTTCTATGTAATTGGAACTTTTTTGGTTCTTGTTTTTATATGAATGTCATAAGAATACCATTTTCTCCTGTTACAGAAAATTTCCTAAGTAATAACATCTCCTAAAAAAGAATTTGTGACACTGGTAGGAAAAGAGTTTGCTCTCTTGAAATTTGTACTGTCTGCATCTTTGAAGCTCCATCCACCCTCAATTCACAACATTTCCAGTCGCTTTTCCAAGACAGATCAACTCTTCCCCTGCAGTGACCATGGATGGACAGGTGTAGGGGTGTTTTACCATGGGGTCTGTGCATCAGCATTACTGCAGTTGTGTCATTTTCTTCTTTCCTACTCCTGAAAAGGTTTGAAAGGGTATTTAAATGCTTTTGCGAATGCAGTGTTTGAAAAGTTGTAGGAAATAGGACTGAACTTTAACTGCTCAATGGCTTAACTTCTGGATTTTAGGTATTCAGTGGTGCTTCGAGGGGACCCTGTGTCCATTCCCTTTTCTGTCTGAAATTGGGACCTCCTGGGGAAGGCTTGCTTGTGTTCTGTTGGCCTGGTTGCCTTCAACCCCCCTGAGGCAGCCTGGCCAGCTTCTCCCCCTGCCTCCCCCCAGCTCTGTCTCTCCAGCCTTGGATCCAGTCTCCCTTCCCACCGTGAAATAAAGGTAGCGGTACGTAGGCTGACATTAAATAAGCGTGCAGTGTGGATTTGCTTTGAGGAAACTCAAAACCCTCTCCTAGTTGGGAGAGAACTGTACAGCCACCGTCTGCTCTCTCAGGTGGCAGATCTGAGGACTTACAGCTACACACATCTGGTGCAGATACAGTCAGTAGTGAGTGGGCACTGCCCCCAGGCAGCTTACAGGACGTGACAGGAGATGGTCTTCCCATCTCCCTGCCCCCACATATGGAAGGTGGTAGAGATTTGTTTATAGGTCACCAAGGCTTCTGAAACCCGACGTCGGCCCTGTGGAACCCAGTGATTGCAGCCTGGTGAAAGCATGGGTCCCCGTAACATAACAACTGGGGTTGTTGCGTGCTGACCACGTACTGTGGGCTCCACTCAGGTCACCCGTGACTCCTTCTGACTACTCTGTGAGGTAGGTACTCCAATCTCCACTTTCCTGAAGAGGACATAGGCTCAGAGACTCAAAGTAACTTGTCCAAGGTCACAGAGTGAATGAGAGTCAGAACCAAGATTTGATCCTCAGTCTCTCTGACTTCAAAGCCTGTCTGTGCTCTGAATCACTGAGGGGTTCCAGGCCACTCCGTGTCCTCCACCTGGAATGTTCCCTTTGTAGAGTGTGTGCCAGCGCTGCTGCTGGTAGATAATAAGAGCAAAGGCTTGTGTAGACCTGCTACATCCTGGCACCGCTCTAAGCACTGTGCACGTACTGACTTATTTAATCCAGGACTCTTTGAGGTAGGCAATAGGTTATCACCTCCATCTTACAGAGGGGGAAACTGAGGCCCTGGGAGGGGAGTTAGCCCAGTGTGACACATTAGGGACGGAGCTGGTGTTCAAAGCCAGGTAGTGAGGCCCTAGAGTCCGTCCCTCCTACCCACCTGCTGCTCTCCCAATGGACATGAGTTCTCTTTCCAAAGGTGGCATCTGCCTAGATCTCGCTAGGGGAAGGTCCTTATGCCCCACAGTTGTGAGAGAAACCCCATTATCCGTTAGTTTTACCCACTCTTTCACTTAAGGGACGGGGGCAGTATTTTCCCTGATGGGCATTGTGGAGCCGCCTGATGGTTCTCCTGAAGTCCTGTGCACAGCGGTGTCTGTCTCTGACTGCTTCAGCCCTGCCTTTACTGCTGGGCGTGAACCATGCGGTGAAGTTCAGCCAGGCCCCAGAGGAGACCCAGCACAGAGACCCCTTCCCATCCATCCAGACCAGCTACTTCCGGGCCACCCTGGCTCGGAGGCAAGGTCCCAAGGAGGGCTCTTCTGAGGGGAGGGAGTGCGAAGGGCACCCTCACAAACCTCAATTTCCACTGATCTCTTCCCAGAAGAGGCAGCTAGCGGGGCCTCCCTTGCTCACTCCTCTTGGTTCCTCCTCCACAGGCTCCTGCTGGCCTCCATGGAGCCCCAACTTTGAAAAGGAGTTCTGTGTGCTGTCTGTCAAAATTATTCCTGTGCACTATTTTTTTAGACATTCTAGTCTTTTCTCTGTTTTTGCTCTTCTATTAGGTTTGCATATCTCCCTTTAGCAACTGTGCCACGATTTAAATGAGGGTATTTCCTTTTCCCCTGAGCAGGTAAAACTACTCCAATCCGGGAAGCAGTAATTACTCATGTGGATATTTTTAATTGTATGTTGATGATTCACAAACAGTGAGGTTGGCAGAGGAGCCTGGTACCAGTAGATTGTCTTTCGTGTGAGAGAAGCTTCCTAAGCAGCCGTAGAGTTTCTGGGGACCCCAGGTCAGTGGGAAGTTCTCAGTCCACCTTTATGGCTGGACTTTGCAGAGACAGCTCGTGCCCAGGGAAGTGCAGCTGTGATTAATGGTGCCTCTTTCACTCGGGTGTCCACATACACTTTACGCGGAGTACAAGTCTCAATTAAGACAATGCTGGCGTTTGTTTCCTGCATCGTAGGCATGAAGACGAAAAGTCTGACATGGTTTCCAGGGTGTGGGCAATGTTGTCAAAGCCAACTGCCTGAATTGGACTTGTCTCCAGGGAAGGGGAAAAATCTAGTTTCAAATATTCCTGCAACTTTCTGCTGACCAAGTGTTTATTAATAGAAGTTGAATTCCCAGTGGGTTTTTCTTTGGTTAACTGGTGAGCTTGAGAGAAATTACAATACCAAGAGATTGACTGTAAAATAATTATTCACCGTGGCCTGCTGGGCAGAGATTTCTCAACAGGCAGCCTCCTTGGCGCCTCAGGGGGAAGAAGGCAGGAAGAGGGCTGTGGAAGTCTGGCTGCAGCCTCTGTGCGTGAGCCTTGGTTATCAGGTGGAGGTAAACCCACAAAGCCCTCCCTGTCGGTGTGGGCAGAGCTCCTGCAGCAAAAGCTAGAAGCATCTTGAATTCTGATCGTGGATGCCATTACCTCGCCTTTTTCTTATTTGGCGTTTTTTTTTTTTTTTTTTTTTTAATCCCGTGGGGCAACTCTTTTCTTCCACCAAGATGCTACTTTGCCAGCTGGCACCATCTGGCAGAGGTAAGGCAGAGGTAACTCCAGGCTCAGCCAGGTTCGATGGTTCCATTCTGGTGGTGACGTGAACTTTTCTACCTTGTTCTGCTGAATACAGTAAACACACTTAAAGATGAAACGTACTTGAATTACACATGCATTCGAAGAGTGGAGGAGTTCTAGTCCAGATAATAGCTGAGGGCTTTTTTCTTCCTTTCTTTTTGTGAGGAGGTCGGGAACTCAGTAATACTGCAGTCTTGGCCAAAACAAACTCTATATGATCTACTACTGGTTTCCTTTAAAGTTCCCCTTTTTGCAAGGACTGACTTCCTTTTATTTTACTCCAACTTGCATTAATCCCAGTTATAGAAGTTTCTTTCCTTTCTCCCTTGCCTCCAACTTCAAACATTTTTTACATAGGAAACAAGTGACTTTTTTTTTAAAGATTTGCTTAAAAAAATATAAAGGACACCGTGACTTTTGGAAAGTATTTTGGCAGCCTGCAATTTCAGAGTTCACTTCCGAACAGACAGAGTTAGACGGGGAGCTGAAGTGCCTACGTGACCACTGTGGTCGCTCTGAGCCAAACCACCTGCTTATCTGATCTCCCCTGGGAAGGAGGTGGTCGACACCTACAGCAGTTATTTGATAATTGCATGCTTTGTCAGAGGCCATATATTCTTTGACCAGTGCTGCCTCTTTCCATGGGTTCTCATGATGGGAGCTGGGTGTTGACCGATTGCCCAGAGAGACCAGAACTTGAGCGTGCTGGAGCCCAGTATTTTTAGCTGCGCTCACATTTTGTCCCTCCTCCGAAGCAGTTATCGTCATTGCTGTCACTGACTTCCAGTTGATCGGCTGTGCCAGCCAGGCCGACTCAGGAGCCGCTGAGGAGCTCAGGCCAGCAGAAGGCAGGATGTGTTTAAAATTGTGCTCTGATCCTATCACAGGACTCAGGAAACCTATTAGTAGCTTGGGGACTTTCTAAAAGTCCTTCTTCCCGTTGGCCCATCCCACCTTCTCTCCCTTTCTGAGGATTTGCAAGCTGAGCTACCAGGACACTAAAGTCAAGAAGTGGGGCTCCCACGGGGTCTCGGTGCACCGCTCTTAGTCAGCTGAAGAGGGTGTGTTGGGTATCTTGCATCTTGGGACCTTCTGGAGACAGAGAAGGTCACAGCGCTCCCTTGAGCCTGTTCTCCCTCACCTCCAGACTCCTGTCTGCACTATTATTATGTTATTATCACGGTGGTGAGAGGATGAGGCTCAGAAGCCAAATAAGCCAGGTTGCCTTCAGAGGGGTGGGCAGGATGTGGGGGACCAGACAAGCCAGCACCAGGCAGCCCTCTGAGCGCTATCTCCTCTGATGAGTGGGGATCATAACTACACCTGCCTCACCAAGTTGTTGTGAGTATTGGGGATGTGGGAAAGTACTGTGCAAAATCTGATAGATTAGAAAAAATTAAAATACTTTATCTGTGTAGTCCTCAGAGAGCCCCTGTTAGAGCTTCTCAGCATCCCTGTGCAGCTGGACTGTTGAGATTAATATCTCCAACTGGCAGATGAGGAAACTGAGGTGCAAATACTGAACCGATTGGCTCGGGTCCTGAGAGACTCACAGAGCAGCACTGTCCAGTAGACACGTAACGAAGCCGTCTATATGGTTTGAAATTTGCTAGTGGCCACATGAAAAAAAATAAGAAACAGTGAAAATTAATTTTTAAAATATTCCACTTAACCCAATATAGCCCAAATCTTATTTCAGCGTGTGGCACCAGCTGTATTTCAGGTGCTCAATAGCCACGTCTGACTCGTGGCCACGTGCTGGATGGTGCAGTGTGCAGTACTTATTAAGCACTCACTAGGAAGATGCTTATAGGCAGGACACAGACCCTGTATGAGAGAAAGTTTACTTTCTGGGGGCTGATAAAATGCCCTTAAAATATTTCCTCCTTGGGGTACTTCCTTATAGAGACCCTTAGGAATCTATTGGACTGTTCTTTACGTCTGTGAGAAAATTCCTAAATTATAAAGTGAGATGTTTGGGACTCATTAACCCATGTGCGTAAACTTCTGTCACTCGTCTTGCTTCCAGCCCTCTTGAAAATTATAGTGTGCTTGGTCTTATGCAAGGATGAAATAATTTCAGAAAGATCCCACATCCAGATGGGGCCGAGGAAAATTGTCAGCTGGGGTTGAGTGATCTTAGTTGGTGAACAATTTTTTAAAAATTAGTGACAAAAATACAGAGCTGCCTGGGGAATACAATGCCTGTTGGCTGAGATTAATGGCAAGATTAATAAATGGATTGCTTGATGAAAAGGCGTGAGGGAACAAAAACCAGTGGATTGTGGAGGAGGCCGCTTATTAATGAACTGTCAGCCTGAAGAAAGTTCAAGAAACTCTCCTGTGCTAAATGCAGCAGGCTGGCACTTCTAATAAAGATCGGGGTCCTTCAGGAATTAATTACACCAGCCTTACAGCAAGAATTTGTGGAATTGCGAAACGTGGTGGCACAGACCAGCACGGCTGCCGCTGCAGACGGGGAAGCTGCAGGGGAAACGCATCATTTTTTCGTTGATAGGCAGGATATTGTAGTCGCATTGTAGCCGGGCAGACACGAGGTGAAGGATGGGGTCCAGACACACACTGACTAATGAAACTGCACATACTTGGAGTTTGAAGTCACTTCACATTTCATATGCAGAGTTCCCTCCTGAAATCTGATTTCCTCCTTATCCTGCGTACCCACTGCTAAGGAGCTCCACACAACTCAGAGTGATGATGGGAGAGGCAGACGGACTCGACCTCCACTTATCGAGCTGTGCCGAGAGCACCAGTGTTCATTTATTCCGAGTTGCTGGAATTTCCCTCACCCCTCCACAAGTTCCCAGTTTAGTTGGCCTGACAAACCTTCTCTTAATTAAAATTTGGTGTTGCCTCTGCCGGATGAAGCAACCCAAAGGAACGCCATGGCAAGAAGGAGGTCGTCCAGGCTTTGCAGTCTGATTCCGAGCATCAGATAGCGAAAGCGTCTTACCCCTCACTTCCACCTCGAAGGTGGAGTAGAAGTTTTCTCTGTAATGTGTTTAGACCAAAGCGTTCCCGGACAAACCGTCAATCTCTTGGGTCTCAAATTTCATAATTAACCCTTTCAGTCCAGGACTAAATTTATTCCTAAGAGAGCTTGGTGATTCAGGACATTTCTGGAAGTTGATTATGTACTAGTTTTCTAGGAATGAGAGAAAAATAAAAGGAGGAGAACAGCATTTGGTTGGTGTATTTTTTCCTTTGGGGTCTGAATGTAGGTGATCAGCTATTATTTTCCTTTGTAGAACTTTACGGAACTGGGGTGGAGGCTTTTTTAAAACTCCATTTGACTTGCATCAGGATGATAAAATCGTCCTCTTTCCTGTGCTTGTCACATCCTTGACTGTTGAACTCCATCACCCATCACTCTGACTTTCCAGGCCCTCATAATCCACGTGATACTTCTCCTTTTGATTAAAACAACTTAATGGCCTTGTCACGAATAATTAATCTGTTGTCTCTTTCCCTTCAGCTCTAGGCCTTTAGCTTTCATGCTGAGTGAACGGCCGGGGCTCCTTGCGGAGGGCACCCCCTTCAGCCTCTCCCCTCATGTGTTTAGTTCCTCTTTAGAAACTTCAGGGTTTGCTACACTAAGGGTTTTTTTTTTTTTTTTTGAGGAGGATTGGCCCTGAGCTAACATCTGTTGCCAATCTTCCTCCTTTTTTCCTTTTTGATCCCCATAGGCCCAATAGATAGTTGTATGTCATAGTTGTACATCCTTCTAGTTGCTCTATGTGGGATGCCGCCTCAGCATGGCTTGATGAGTGGTGAGTAGGTCCACACCCAGGATCTGAAACCGCCAACCCCGGGCCGCCGAAGCAGAGCTCGAGAGCTTAACCTTGAACTTAACCGCTGCGCCACCAGGCTGGCCCGCTACACTAAAGTTTTTTAAAGGCTTCCAAATTAGTCTCGATCCTTTCCACTGTGTGTGAAGTGAGTAGCTGTGCTGAGATCAGTGGGATGAAATGAAAATCATCTCCGACCCGCGCAGTCTGTCGTTCTGGAAGACGTGAGGCTTCCACTGTAAGGAAAAATTAAAACTCCATTGCTTTTTGAAGAAACAATTGCATATTTTTTTGTAGTTATGTGTTTCTAACTCTGGCTATTTCTTTAACAGTGACAATTTATACCAAATGACCTCCCAGCTTGAATGCATGACCTGGAATCAGATGAACTTAGGAGCTACATTAAAGGGGTAAGTTCTTCTCTACTCCATTGTCCGTAAGTAGTGACTTACACCTGCTGGAACCATTTTGAAGGTGCTCGTAGCTTATGAAGACAGTGCAGTTTTAGGAGAATAGCACGGCTCTCTGTAGAATTAACACGAGTTACTCCCTCCCTAGCCGGTGGTTGTGTTCAGCATTAAATTTTCAGGGATGTGAACCGGGGGTGTTTTGGTCTCCAGCAAGGACTGTTGGAGGGTTCACACGGCCGTGTCCATTCAGCATCCTGCAATGCTTGTTTTGCTAGTGGCGTCACAGAAGTTAACCGTTACATTATCTTGTCAAGAAGTACTTTCAGTTGACAACGTCCAGGATCCACATTCGTACTGAGTGATGGTGGTTTGGACAATGCAGTCCGATGTGCTCACACCTGGGTGCCCCAGCGGGTTCTCCTCACACCTGACAGACAGCCACAGTGGGGAGCACACACAGCATAGGTGGGGGCAGCTCTTTGCACCTGAAAATGAACAAAGGGAAGCAGCTGGGACTTGCTTCCAGCGGAACAAGAACACGTCCGAGTGGAGGACAGTAGGATCTGACACTCGAGAAGTCCCTGTGATATATCAGGTGCTCTTGATCACCCCATCAAATCTTCCTGACGACATCATGGGCCTGGTATTGTTACCCTGTTTTCCGGGGTAAGTCAGTCAAGCTCAGAGAGTTAAGTAACTTCCCAAATTCACATTGAATTAAGCAGTGGAGCTGGGATTCCAAGCCCGGATCTGGTTCCAGGGCACGGGCTCTTCCCAGCCTCTGTGTGGTGCCTTCCGCCCGCCATCAGCCCCATGGGTTCGGGGACTTAGTTCAGCACTCTTGGCTACACCGCTAGTTTCATGTCTCTGTGTACTTAGTGGCTTCTTACTGGATTCTGGGGTCTGGGGGGCTTGCTAGCGCCATGCACACTCCATTCCCCATTCCCCACCTCTCCTTCTCTTCTAGAGTTGCTGCTGGGAGCTCCAGCTCAGTGAAATGGACAGAAGGGCAGAGCAAGTGAGTGGACAGTGCGATGATGGCAAAGCAAATGACATAGGCCTGTGGACGGGCGCCGGGGCAATGCAGGAGTTAGAACTGACTGGGCTTTCGGGGTCGCAGCAGGTGCACAGGATGGGAAGAACCTCTCCGTCTCCTTCTTGCTGCCTCTTCTTATTTATCGTAGACACACTGTGGGCAGAAATGGAGCTGGTGACATTTCTCATCAACATGCTCCTGGAAAGCAATTTTTAAAATGATGCAGTAGGAACCCTGCTCATTTCCTCTCAAATACTTCACAAAATACTAAATTTGTCGTTTTACACATGTTCTTGTTAGATCAATCAGACCTTTCAGTCATACTTAACTTGCTTTTTCTCTATTTACCTTTAAATCTCTCAGGGAAAACTTAATTTTTACCGCAAGTCCATGTCCAGACTTTTTGAAAAGACTTTTTTTCCTTCCCAAACATCTGTGCCTCCCACCCCTGCAGTCTGCACCCTTGGACGTTTCTGTAGCTCTTTCTTTTGGTTTTATTTTCTCTGTTAAACACCAGAACCAGCCTCCCTCTTCTCATCCTTCTTTCCGTTGTTGGCTCAGTCCTGGTTTTCAGATCATCCTTCAGTCATCAGCAGACCTACTGGTAGACCCTCCTCTGTACCCTCATCCCCCAATTTCTCTGCTACTTTATCCACATCTCCACTTCCTCTCTCTGGACCCCAAAGTAAAAAGCCTCCTGTTGATTTGAAGTTTTTCTCTCTCCGCTTCCTTCCAGAGGGCTGTGACGAGTTCAGCATTGTCTTCACCCACCCTCCACTTGTCTTCTGGGTCCCACCCTGTCTCTCTGGATCCCTCCTTCTCTTCTCTCTCCTCTACTCAGACTTCAGTAACTCTCCCCAAACTGAAAGCCAAGAATAGACAGAACATGATTGTGAAGTGAGCAGTACGTTTCAATTTTTGAAATTTCTTCATGCTGGAACAGGGTTGGTTTGTTTGCTCACTTACAAAAATTATAGATAAGCAATCTTGGCATGTGTTTGAATCTGGCTCTTTCCATACTTGAGATAATTTTGATACTTTTTAAGGTCTTTAAACGTGTGGTATCAGTCACTTGCTGGGGAATCAGAGGCTGTATTGTAAGGATGAAGCACAAAGTGTGAATCATTTGTTTTCTTCAATCCCGTGTAAGAAAATAAACTAGAAGAGTTTTCACTGGTCTGGTGCTTACGTTTTGGAAAAGAATTTCTGAAGTCAAATGTATTTCTTGAATACTTTATTCAGAGAGCTGGATAAAAAGGATCAAATGGCCCCAATAGATAGTCTTACAGGAGAGCAACTCTTTGGAGAACAAAAAGTCCCAATGGTCCAATTTCCTAACGTCTCCCCTCACACTTTCCTCTGGCGTGTGTTGTGAGTCCTCCAATGTCTGCTCCATTGGCGAATTGCGCGTTCATCTCAGGTGGATGTTGGCTTTACTGGGCCCTGTGTGGGGGGCTCCATACGCGTTTCCTCTTTTGATCTCACAACAATCCTAGGAGACTGCAGTCACGACCATCTTCTAGGTGAGGAGGCTGGAGAGATTACGCTCCCTAACCAAGTGCACACAGCGAGTAAGTGGCAGGGCCATGTTCGAACCCACTTCTGTCTGACTCCAGGCTCTGGACCCCAAGTTAGAGGTTCTTAAACTTTTTAGACTATGACCACAATTAGAAATACCTTTTACACTGAGATCCAGTATACACACATGTGCACACACAGACACACACCACAAATTTTCACAAACAGTGATTACCCTTACTAAATGCTGTGCATGCTTATGCTTTCTAATGTATTCCGTAATTTTTAAAATGCTGGTTGTGATGTGTATATTGATTTTACAGCCCACTGATGTGTCTTGGCCCACAGTTCACCTCTCTTTCAGCTCTTAAGAATAGTGACTCCTGGGGCTGGCCCGGTTGTGTAGTGGTTAAGTTCACGCACTCCACTTCCGTAGCCCGGAGTTCGCAGGTTTGGATCCTGGGCACGGACCTACGCACCACTCATCAAGCTATGCTGTGGCAGCGACCCATATACAAAATGGAAGAAGATAGGCACAGATGTTAGCTCAGGGCCAATCTTCCTCAGCAAAAAGAGGAACATTGGCAATGGATGGTACCTCATGGCCAATCTCCTGCACCAAAAAAAAAAAGGAATAGCGACTCCTTAGCTCCTCCTCCAAGCCCGTGAACAGCCGAGAACTGGATTCAGTTGGATGTGTTATTCCAGGGGAAAGTTTGGCTTTTCCCAGGGGGACGTAATCTGGGGAGGCATCATTATTCTCTATGATACTGAATTTACTTTCTTTTGCCATGGTATGAAAATACCGTTAATATGGACAATACATTTGAGAAAAGATACTTCGTGAAGAAAGATAAAGAGAAATAACTGTCTTTTGCTTTAATCCATAACTAGTATGTTGACATTATTTGGAATCAATGGTAAGGACAATCATGGTGACAAAGTAGATCTACAACAGGAAAATTGAGGTTTGACTCACGTTTTGGAGAAAAAAAGATATAATTCCCATATCACATAAAAATGAGGCATTATCAATTTTTTATGAAAAGATCATGTACCTCGGACTAACCCCCACTAAATATTTGTTCATTTGTCTTCTTTCCTTGAAAATGTTACTTTTACAAAAAGAATGGGCTTGTTTCCTTGTGTCCTAAGCCAGTCCACGGAGGCGTCTCTCCCTTGGTGTCGGGAGCAGCGTCGCTGCAGTGGGTGGGGACAGGGTTTCGGGGAGAGCGTGGAGCAGATGAGATGAGAAGCTGATATAACGGGGAGGAGGGGACGCCCTGATTTACTCTTGTCTCCTTCTCCTCCACTCATTTCCTAATCTCTGCACGCCCATTGGGATCAGAACTACTTTTATGACCTCAAACGGGAGAATACTGTATTTCAATTTAAGTCAGAGAGGAGGTACTTTATGGAACCGCTTTCTTAACTCTGACCCTTTTCCTCACCCACAAACAAATGAAATTAGATTTTTTAAGTGGGTCACTGGAAGAAAAAATTGCCGGGGACTCTGTGTAAGCGTTAGTCCACCTTTACGAATAATTCTGTTAATGGTGCCTTGCGTTGTCTGCTTTTTATTTCTTTGAAAACATTTTCTGTGCATTCTTAATGGCTGCCGATTTTCTAAGGCTGCTCACAAGCCTTGGAGACTCTGTTTGCCTCTGTTTTGTCTCTTCTGAAGAAAATATCCTGCAAAATGGAGAAACACATCAACCTTGACTGTGGTCCAAGTTACTAAAACAAGGAAGAAGCTATTCTCTGGGGACTCGGGCAGGGGAGTGGGAAATGGAACACAATAGAAATGCAAAGGAGTGCTGAGCAAAATGAATGTCCCTTTGCTGGCCCAAGAAGTTCACAGACTGTTGGGAACACACAGTATTTGACCTGTGGATGCTTGAAAGGAAAAACGAAAGACTCACGATGAGTGATGTATGGTGAAAATAAAGCTGCGCGTTTTGGTAGGGCCGAGGCTGTCGGATCTGGAGAAAATCCCCACTAGACATGGTCTCATCCCTGAGAACCTGTGCCAAAAGAGATAGCTGTCTTCTCTGGCTGGGAGATCCAATACACAGCCCAGCACCTTCCCTCTCCAGCTCGTGAGCATAAGGTCCTTGTCCAAGAGATTTACTTCTTGAAAACAGAGAGGCTGCTTTTAAGTGGCTCCTGGAGCTCCAGAATCTGCCAAAGCAAAGGTGGAGAAGCAGCTCGGTGAGTATCAGCATCCCGAGTTACTCCTCTACCTCCACCCGCCCCTGCAAAACGCTGTTCATATCTCCTTTGAAGCGGTTACATTGACGCCTTGTGAGGCTCTTTATCCTGCACTGGACCTGGCGAGAGTCTGGGAGCCTTGCTGCAGAGCAGAGCCTGGGACTCCTGGGCCTGTGGGCGGAGATGGAGGCTGACTGGGCTGTGTCCCCCATCCCTCCCGAGTGGACGCAGTCAGTGCTGCTGCTTCCCTCCCGCCCGACCTGTCCATGTCTCCCACCCTTTTCTCTTTTGGCATGTATTCAATTAATGTATGTAACTTCTTTATTACGTAAGGAATGTTTATGAATGATGGAGCAGTAAGAAAATATGACTGTGTAGGGAAGGAAATTAACATCCCCCAAAGCCCAGATGGAGCGCCCATGAACAGCGCGTCCACTTCTAGACCTTTTTCTGTGTACATGCACATTTGTGTCACTTTCTTCTTTATAACAAGTGGTTGGCTTTCACTTAGATCTATTTCAGCAAAAGCGTATCTATAGGCTGTAGCAAAGGTCTGTGTTTTGACCCTTATGAGAACGTTGACTTTTCGAGAATATTCTCAACCTCTTAAAAAATACTTCACTTAAAAAATATTTTGGGCTTTACGGACTTATCATTTCCACAGTATGTTTCTAACTATTTTATTTTAAAGCAAGGAATGATTTTCATCTCGTGAAGGTGAGGAGAAGACAGGTTTGTTTAGATCAGGAGAAGAATGAAGCCAAGCAGGAAAGATAGAGAGGGGAAGATGGTGGTGAAGGGGCCAAGCTGGGATGAAGTGGGGTAACGAGGGCTCCAGTCTGTTGGCCAGGGGTTGTGTGCGTGTTGGAGGGGAAAGGGTGTAGCAGAGGAGGGGAGGGTCTTTCATGACCTAAAGGAGTGTTTTGGACCTCTCATGTCTGTGATCCCAGCTTGGGCCCTTCTGACACCCTCTACTCATCATTTATCCTTATTGCTCTCATCTAGCCAAGAAGAAATCATAACTTCTAGCTACAAAAACCTTCATATTGAAGCTACACTAATAAAAAGCCATCCAAATAAATGTTTCTCTGAAATGAGGAGCTCCTGCATATTTTAGTAGGGTTTTTTCCTACTAAAAGTAAACAAGTACATTTATTCTAGCTTTAGTTCTAACTCTCCACTTTAAAAGCAAAGCCACAGATGTAGTATTCCTAAGGCTAAGGTGGGGACTTTATCGAAAATGAAAACAACGT